CCCCCAACTTATTGTCTGTCCCCAGACAATTCCACAAAAAGAAAAGTGGCTGAATGGGTTTTCATTGGGGTTGCATCATCCTGTGTAGAATCGGCATAAGGCTGTTCTTACTTCCACCTGGGGTTAGGGTGTTTTCAGTTTTTCTTAGTTAGCCAAAAATGGGCCCACAAAACCCCTCCTTCTTTGGAAATTGTTGAGGGGGGGTATGTTTAGCATTTTTTTTTTTCTTTTTTTCAAAATCCAAATTCCGGAGCCCATAGCCCCGCAGCAAGTGACGTCGAATAGCTGTAGCGTCCGCAGTAGATTACTTGATCCTATCCAGGTCGTGCTCGAGTTCCAATTGGGGGTTTCGGGGTTCCGATACTCGTTCCAATCCCTGTGCGCCTTGTGCTCCATGATCCAGGCCCTGTGCGCCTTTCCAGACCAGAGTTCAAGTGCCCGCGGCCCTTGAACATATGTAGATATGTAGTGGCAACCAGTACCACTACATCCCTCACAAAAAAACAACTTCGAACTCCTTTGAATCTTCGAATTGGATCGACCGTCAAGATCCTTGGTCGAGAACATCTTCTTTTGTTACTGCAGAGAGCAGCTATGAGGCTTGACCTGAGATTCCTTCCACCTTCCAAACACCATCGCGAAGGCCAGTCCTTTGACACATACGTAGGTTCCACCTGTTGTGTTTGGATTCTTGCTTGAGGTGCCACCACAGACCGGTTGAGGAACTATGCTAGCCGTGGATCCTTTTCAAGTCCAGATGAGAAAAAAAATAAAGAAGGTTGATGGAAATAAGATGGGAAGATTCCTCCCCCAACTTGAGTAATTTTTAACCCCATATTCCCAAGTGCAGGTGAGTTTCCTCCCCCAACTTAAAAAATGAAGCCAATTATATTGATTGATTCTGGTTTTTATCTGGGTATGTTTTCATGAAGGTTTTTGTTAGTTTTTTCTTGTAGGTTTTCTGAGTTTCTGAATTGAGGTTTGAACAGTTTATCCTCATGCCCAGGAGGTAGCCTATTTTTATGAGTGTTTTTTTTTTTTGTTTTTGTAAGTATAAGAAAAGGAAAAAAAAGGGAAAGAGAATTGTTGAGAAATTTTTAACCAACTCCAACAAGGATTCTTGGGATGTTGAATGTGGTATACAGTTGTCCAAAGCGGTCTGGTGGAATCTTCAGGAGTAGTTGAAAAATGGGTTTGTTGAATAATTGAAATCTGAAAAGTGAAATATTTGGTGATATAAAGTGAGAGAGACTGATGATTGAATTTTCCACTACTGAATCGAGTTGAATTTCTGTTTCCAGTATAGTTTTGATTGTTGTCGAATTATGTGATGGACCCCTTGTCGGCAGAATCACAAGGGTTTCTTCATTTTCCTCAGGTTTTGTAGTCTTGTGTTCAAGATGTTGAGGAATTTTGTTGAAAACTTCAAATAATCTGTATGCGTCCAAGTAAGGTTTAAAAAGTTGTTTGTTGAAGAGCTTTGGTTGGTGTGCGTTGACATTTTGAATCCAAAGGAATTTTGAGACTTGAGGAAATTCCAGATCTTCTGCTAGATTTTCTGTAAGGAGAAATTTCACATAATTTTTGTTGAGCTGGGTGGACTGATCCAGTTCCTTGACTTGTTGAACAGATTGATCCAATATTTCTTCATGATCCATGTAATTTTCCGTATCCAGTCCATCTAGCACCATTTCTGGTATTTCAATCACTGTATGTGCAAGTTCCATGGGTGTGTCAATTACGTTTGCTGATGCCGCTTTCCATTCTTCCACCAGATCCGGTAGTTTGATTTTTGTAGCTGCTGTTTCAATTACTGGTTCCGTATAATCCATTGTTGGTTCTGTATAATCCATCGTTGGTTCCGTATAATCCATTGTTGGGTCCGTATAATCCATTGTTGGTTCCGTATAATCCATTGTTGGTTCCGTATAATCCATTGTTGGTTCCGTATAATCGATTGTTGGTTCCATTGGGACAAACAGCTGTGGAGTTTTGCATTCAACAGGAAATTGTACCTCCAGAAGTTGTTGTTTGAGTGAATCAAGCTGTTTGGCCAAGTCTGATATTGATGGTGTGACTTCTGGTGAGTGGTGGACAGGAGCTTCCAAGGTACGTAGATAGTTGCAATAATCTTCTTCCAATCTGATCTCCCTTTCAGCAGCCTCAGCTACATGTTTCAAAAGAGGAGGTGATTGGGATCCATCAGGGGCTTGTGGAAGTTGACCATTGTTGATTAAAGTCTGTTTGATATTTGTCTTAAGCTGATGAGGAAATGCACTGATGAAAAGGAGTGAGACATCCTGTTCACTATCAAAATCTTCATTTTTGACCAGATAATCAAGAATTTCTGAAAACTTTTGAAGGTAAATCTGAAATTCTTTGTAGCTTAATATCTCATCATCCCTAGAAAATTCTTTTACCAGGTTGACTAGATTGGTGGTTGTATATGAAGTTATATCGTCAAATTCCCCCCAGCATTCAGTCATTGAGACTTTCAGAGTGTCCCATTCGCATTCCTTGTATCCGTCCATGGCCTCAATTTGGCACTTCAGTTCTTCAGTTCGCACAAACCATCCAATCTGTAGAGCTCGATCGTACTTGGTTGCATTAAGTGTATCTGCCGTCCTTTTGTATTGCCTCAAGAACTGCATGAATTGGTATCCGTTGTAAAAAAGTCCCGGTTTCTCAATGAGAATTGGTTTGTGTTGGTTAGTTGATTGTTGATATGTTGGTTTTTGTTGTTTTGGTTTTTGAAAAATTGGTTCATCCGTATCTTGAGTCTTGAAGATTCCAGTTCTGAATATAGGTGGCACTGGTATATTCATATTTCCCGGATTCTTCTTCTTCATCCAAGGAGGTGTTGGTGTTGTTGATGACATTGTAGTTTCCGCATTCCGGTTTAAATTTGAAGTTGGCGTAAAAGGTCGTTTCCTAAAATTGGTTCGTGGAACAAATAATTCTTCCATATCTGATACACCAAACAGTATGTTCATGTTGATTGCTGTTGATTATTCCTGTTTTTCTTGATATAGCATTCCTTTGAAACTTTCCTATTAAATCTGCTGAAAAAACACTTTTATGGTCGCTGGTGTCTTCGCCAGGGCAAGATGGGGGGTTTATATATAAAATACTTAACAATAACTGGGAATTTCTTCTTCTAACAGGATCTACTTATCCAAATCATTCAGGTCTCTATTACCCTTCGTCTGGTATATAACTGGCTGTTTCCTTCGAGGTACTCTTTTCAGTCTGGTTCACAAAAATCTTATGGTTAATTCAAGGTTAGTAATTGTTCTTTTCAGGAGATTAATGGTAGTTTTGTTGAATGGTTTATGAAGATTGACTGGTTGGTCAACAGAATAACTGAATATACCGTTGAGTGATACAGAATTGAGTTGATAAATTTGATCCGTTCGCCGCTAGAAGTTGTGATCCTTTGACGATGGCTTCTTGTTCTTGCTGAAATTTGGTTAATCGATGTTGATCAAACAAAGAATCCCTATCACGTTGGGGACTCCCTTGTAAGACTCAAAAGTGGTTGTGAGAACCCTTTTTCTGATTGGAGGGGGGTATGGTGAGTGCAAACTCTGCCCTTCTCTACTATCAGATAACAAGACCCACCAAGCTCAGCTTGGCAAGTTTTAATCAAGTGATAGGGGTGGTTGGTTCGAGAATAAGTTGTTTGATCGCAATTTGGTTGTGTGAGAGAAGAGGTTTTGAGAGTATGAGAGTGAGTTTAGTGTGTATTACAAGTGTAAGGGTTGTTATTGGGTGTTATAAAGGTTGTTGCAGTATGTAATGGTAATGGTATGGTATGTAATGGTAGGGGGTATGTGATTTGTGGGTACTGAACTGAGGGGAAAAACAACTGGGAGGAGAGCCTCCTTAAATACACAAAGGTGAGGGATTTTAGCTTCAGGGGAACAAGAGAATGAGAGATTTTAGCTGGCCAGAACTTTACAATGAGGGGATTTAGCTAGTCAGGACATGTACATGAGGTATTTTGGCTGGTTGAGCAACCTACATGATGTCATAAGAGTCATTTTAGCCTGAACTAGAAGTCTACATGAGGGTTTTATGCTGGTGTAGCATGCTACATGAGGTGATTGTACTAGTCTGCAAACTAAGATGGGGTGATGAAGATTACATGAGTGGTGTGAGATAGTGTGACAGCTGCAAGGAAGAATAACAAATGACATGACAGCCTGCATGATGTCACTTGTAAATCCAGAGTGGTACTACACTAACACTGCATGTGTCAATATGTCAGAAGATGGTGGAGTGGTGTGTATACTTATGTACTATGCTGGTGAGAGAGTGTAGTTGTCCTGCAATGTGCATATTTATAGTGTGTGATATGTAATTGTTGATGTGTTGGTGGTGATTGAGTGTTGAAATGTTGTTGAGGTGTGTAAGTGAGTGGTGTGAGAGTCCAGGGGGTGTAACTTCCAATCCAGTTGAGTTCCAGTGACACCTCCAGTGGTGACCAAGGGTGAAATTGAGTGTAGAATCCATTTCTTGAGCCATATTGAGTGATTTGTGAGTGTATGTAGAGGAAAAAAGAGGGATAAAAGAATAATAAAAAAACTTTGAATTTTTACGCATTCAGCTACCACACCGTGCGTACCTCGGTGACCGTAAAGAGCTCTCGAGCAGGATACGGATGTTTCAAAGTTTCCGCCTTCCTAGTTGATGGATCAATGAGAAGGTCAATGAAAAGATCGCACAAGGCAAAGGCCCCTGGCATAAAACTCCCAGGGGATAACTTGTTGGCCGCTGCATGCAAGGAATTTTGACCAATTGCCAAGAAAGATCGGATGTGACTGGCTTGCGTCAATTCCCAGGTAATCCGTGAGTTAAAGTGCTTGACAAGTGTTGTGAATATGTCTGATTTGAGGCTGTTAGTCCCACGGAGCCAGAGAGGATTGAAAAGCGCGTACAGGCTTTCGAGAGCGGCAGCCAACCAGCAGCGGTTTTGCTTGGCTGAGTCCTGGGACGCCGAGTAAGATATGTAGGTGGAGAAAGGATCCTTGATGAGGTTTGCCGAATTTTTTGGGTGCCCACCAACGTTCTTGGGGAGCAAGGTGGCGGTGGTGTCTGGTGCTCGACCATCATTTGGCTCGGCCTTCGGCTTGTTGGCTGGATTTCTTTTAGGTGGTTTCTGCCACCCGATCGAGAGGGCCAGATCGTGTTGGGTCTTGTTCTATGCACCATACTCGATCAAAACACCCCTCATGACTGCATGCCAGTCTTCTTCAAGTGATTTTACAAAAGCAAACAATTCAGCCATGCCAATCATCAGGCATTTCTTGCCTTCACTATTGGAGAGGGTAATCAGGTATTAGTGGTTGGTATCTCAAGATATTATAAAGGAAACAATTAACAAATTTGACGCACCTTATCATGTAATAGAGCCTATGCATGCTCTCTTGTGCATTGGTGGTATCTGGAAGGTTGTCTTGATTATTCGCCGATTCGGAGATCATTGCCCGTTTAGATGGAAACAGCATAGCCTCTACATCAACCATTATCCACCAATCAATCCATCTTTTTGTCTTGGGAAGAGGTGTCGCAGTTCATCAATTTTTTGCTCGTGATTTGGCTGTCCAGGCTCCGGCAAAATCAGAAGATCCAGGCAGAGTTTTTGGAATTGGGCCTGCCCATAAATATCATTAGTCAGCCAGCCGCAATTAGATAGATAAATATAAAAAATATATTAAGAAACAATTCTGTACTTCTTGTTCGGGTGGAACCACCGCCCGATTGCGTTTGACTCGGGTGACCTGAGCTCGAAAATGCTCATGGCACCCCTTCAACTTCGCAAGGGCCTGTTGATGATTGGTAACACCAAAAACCTTCATGTAAGCAGCAATGAATCCCTCCCTCTGTGCTAAGGAAAAATCGACGACCTGCCAAACCAGTGTCTCGCGATCGGATACGGTGAATGAGGGGCAATAGAACTGTTCAAAGAGTGTAGCAAAATGGACTTCGTAGTATTCCGCGCTTAGTCCTTGGATCCACGAGAGCTGAACAGGTATCCAGCGGGCCGTCTGTTCACAGAACATTGATGTTGAGAGTAAGTAGCCAGTCTCAAAAAGCCTGTAGGTGACGTCCAATAGAAGGCCGCCACTGTAAACTTTGTTGTTGTGATTGCGGCGGATCAATTGCTCTCCCATCCACTTTGTTTGGAACGTAAAATGCTTGACCCCCGGTTTGAAAGAAGAGGAAATGATGAGGAGCCCCACACTGGCAAGCCAGAGATCCTTTATCAGTGAGTGAAATGAAGAAAAGTGATATCGAATGGACCTTGACTTACTGGTTCCATTGGAACATGTCATGTAGGAATTTGTCGCCTAAGCCAGCACCCCCCTTCTCTGGGTTAATGCCAAGGTCCGTGAGGATATGACGCCGATGATATCGCAGGCGATCACTGTTCACAAATGCCTTGTGGATCTTGGTGACACTTTCAAAAGGGTTCAACGGCGCAGTTGGCTTGCCAAACTGAAATAGATGCAATTGAGATAAGTATTGGGGGTAAAAATCCGAGCATGGCCAGAATGTGAGATAACACACTTTGAGCTTGAAGGCCCCAGCAGAAGGATTTTTCATTACTTCCCTTTTCAGCTTGAGCTTTGATAAGGGATCCGGCTTCTTTGGGGCTGGCCAAGGATGGTTGTGGGTTCCGTGGTGTCGGAGGATTGCCCATTTAGTCTGTTGATTTTCGTCGAACCAAGTGATAGTGTTCTTGCATGCCTGGTGTGCCACTTTTCCGGGGCATTTCCTAGCTGCACCGGGGCACTTGGGATCCCTGAAGGGGTGGGAGGGTGGTCAGTTGTTTGAAAAAGTGAAGGTGAAAAACAAAAGAAAACAAAAAAGTCACCAAATTAACAAACATGGCTAAGTAATCAGCTATCGCATTTTTGCCGGTTGGTGGCGATCCAACCCACTGGCATCCTGGCTCACTACAGAGCATTGCGCCAAGGCAGAAGATCCGAGTCATTTTCCATGACTTATCGGCTCACCATTCAACATTGCTGGTCTTTGGGAATCCTACCGAGCCAAAGTTTTGGATTGTCATCTCAGGAGTTTTGACAAAGATGGTCCGGCGATTAGGATACAGCGGATATCCTTTGTCGTTGAGGGTACAATCGTGATCAATGAAGGTTTCTTCATTGCCAGTTGATGCAAAGAAGATCTTCTTGCCTTTGATCGGCTCGGAGTCGGTGTCTTTGGGAGAAGTGACCAGTGAGCTCTGTTCCTCATGACTGGCCTCTGGCATTGTCATCAATAGAAAGACTGGTTGAAAGGAGATTTCACAGAAAGTCAGCTAGCTGGTAAAGCAATTTTTTGTTTGAAAATAAGGGGAAAAAAATACCGGGAGGGAGGAACAAGTGAAAGCAGAAGGAAGGAGGGAAAAACTCATACCATAGTTGGAATCCAGCGTGACGGAGGCGTTGAGGCTTGTGAAATTCGAATTCGTCCATGTGGCTGTAGAGTATTCCAGGTGAATAAAGCCTTGTAAAACATCCCTTGTATCCTGTACACCTCAAATATGCAGTCTGTATATCGAATGTATAAAAATTGCAGGTGGTGTTACAGGTATGCATTTATAC